AGATCCCCTCTACCTACTCTTGGACCTTGGATTCCTGCCCTCCTCATTGCTAGGGGCTGAGATCAATGTCTACAAAAGTATTCTGTAAACCTGAAGGCTCTTTAGCAGCAGAAGTTACTACAGATAACTTCTGAGATGCAGGTGGTGGTGGCTGGGGACAGTCCCTTCAGTTTGGATGGCCTCCTAAAGCAGTCAGTCCCAATGACAGCTCCACTGCCGTAAGGAGCACACAGGGGTTTTTTATTCTCCCTGACCACAGAGGGAAACCCATTCATTCATTCATTCATTTGTTCATTAGTGCATATCCTGCCGACTGAAGCCACATGGAACAAACTTAACAATGCGTCTGCATCTGATTCTAAGGTTAGGTTATCCAAACATCCCCAAGCTGAACACACCCCAGCCCCTGCAGCAGGCAGCAGAACTAATAGGCTCAGAACACTCGACCTGGAAAAATAACAACATTCATCTGTCTCAACCATTTTATTTCATAAGGAAACTGAGGCAGGAGTGAGGTAACCTATCCAGGGTTACCAGCCATGGCATGGGGAGACCCAGAATCCAGGGTTGCCAAGTACCGGTTTGGCATTTCTGATCCACATCATGTCACCTCACCTGGCCTCACCGACCTTTCCTTTCCAGTGTATTCCAAAGGCCACCAAGGTCACACTTGAACTCACTGCCCTCTCTGGGCACCTGCAGCAGTGAGCAGGCTTCCGATTGACTTCCCCTTCTGAGTTCACTCACACCATTTTGGGCTTTGTGACTGCGAGGAGGAGGGCTACTGGCCTGCGCCCCTGGCAGGGCAGCCTCTGCACAGCCTTGGGGCGCAACTGTCCCAACCAGAGCCTGGCCCTGCCTGGAACTGCAGCTTTGGCTTCTACAATTCATGTTGCTGTAAAGATGGCTCTATAGTAACTTGGGTTTGCTTACTGCTAAGGAGTTCAAAGTCCTTTACAGACTTCTGAAATCCAGGTGGGTTAGGTGGCCTCTAGCTGCAGCACACACGGTGGTGACTTGCCTGAAGTCACAAAGCAAGGTGGTGACGGAGTTAGGAAAAAATGTCTAATTCCCCCTTCTTACTCTGGTTGTCAATACCCTAGTTGGCTCATATTTTTCTTTTCAGTAAAGACCAAGACTACAGTTCCAGTAAGAGTCCAAGAGGGGAAATACAGAGGGAAGGGTAGTTAGAAGTTCCAAGTCTGCAAAGCAATGGGAGTGCGATGCGAATCTGAGCTCTGTCCCAATGCTGAGTGACCTTGAGCAGGTTACCTAACATCTCTGAGCCTCAGTTTCTTTGACCTTACAATAGAAACAATCAAAGTCACACTAAAATCTGCTTCCTCAAAATGCAGTCTATTTACATCCTGGGGAACTAGTTAGAAATGCAAAACTGAGGCCCCTTCCAGACCTGCAGGATCAGAATCTGCTTTTTACGGAGATCCCCAGGTGATTCTAAACACCTTTCCATTTCAGAAGTGCAGATAAGTATTAAGCATGTATTATTACACCCCTACACATAGCCCTCAATAATAAATGTTAAGTGCAATCAGCACTTGAAAGATCCCAAAACATAGGCCAAGGCTCTCATGAGAAAAGAGACCTAGAAAAACTGATTAACTTGCCCTGGGTCCCACAGGATTCGAACCCAAGACTTGGGGTTCTTCTGTACCACATGACCTCCTTCAATTTAAGGTTTATCTCTCTAGAAGCACAATATTGACTCAGGTGTTCTAAGAAGCAAAACCCTCGTGATATTTTAAAATAATACCCTAGTTACCATGCACCTCTCTGGTCAGTAGCCTAGACTAGTCTTTCTGGGTGGCTGTCTGCCATTCTGAAGCTCTAGAAAGTGGAATAACCCAGGACTGCTGCCAGCTGCTGCCTGAGATGTAATTTTTAAAGTGAAAGGAAACCTTAAAACACGCCTTATAAATTTACACTCCCTTTCACCCATTAACACCTTCCTCACGCAGTGCTCCAGTCCAAGCAGAGAAACAGGACAGGGTGTCAAGCTAGAAGGCAACTTTTTGACTTCCCAGGTCTGCTGCCTAGCCTGAGAGCAAATCCCAGTGTGCTGGCTTCCCAGGGCTGGGGTGCCTGCTGTGAGGCCCTTGGTCCCGGTTCCGAGACACTGCAATGGAGACTGGCAAGCAACAAAGCTGGAGGCCGCATACGAAGACGCTAAACTGGGTTCGTGAAAGATCACACGTGAGGTGGCTGTGAGGATTAAACATGACGTTAAATATCCAGCCCAGAGCACAGAGACTATGTCATCATTCCATCGACACATCTGTGTCATGCCTGGGCACAGAAATTTTCCTCTTTGTCATTTCAAAGTTTGGAAGTCAAAACAATAATTATGATTGGTTTTACAAGTGTCCAGATGGAAATAACAAAAAAGAAAGGTTACAAAATTTGAAACAGGGTAATTCTGATTTTTATACACCTGTGACAAGCTTGATATATGAAATCTCAAGTTCATAAAAAAAGGACAGATTTCAGATACTCTATGGTAATGCTTTACAAACTTCCATTCATATATGAATCATCTGTGGATCCTGTTAAAAGACAGATTAGGACTCAAGTAATCTAGAGTGGAACCGGAGAGTTTTCATTTCTAAGAGCTCCAGTGAAGCTGAAGAGCCAAGAGCCCAAGCTTTTGAGCAGCAAGGTTCTATGGAATTCCTTAAATAACAAGAAACAAATCCAAGGAAAGCATAATTTGATTTAAAAACAACATGCCAGGAGAACATCCATGAAGGAGTACATGGAAACACCCAGGCTAGCAGGGTTTCTTCAAGGGAGGCACACCAGGAAAGCAAATGGTATTCTTTGAGCTGGCCCTGGGTTTTCTTCAAATGAGTCTGTACTCTACACATCATGCTTTGTCTAGGCAAGTGAAAGCACTCTTTAGTGACCATAAAAGTGGCATGCCTCTGACAAAATTCTTGAAAGCAGTGCAGTGCAGGGAACAAAACATCCTAAGATATTTCAAGTTCATTGCCACTCCAACAGCTGGTGGCTAGCTCTTCAAGGCCTTTCTTAAATCAAAGTTTACCCATTTACCTCCTCTCTGTACATCAAATTTAATGCTGTTTCTGTGGACAGCTGTAATTTTTTTTTTTAAATGCCTATCAAGTTGCCCATTACGGAAAATTCCAAAGTAGTAAGATGAATGTGATTGTCAGGTAAGAAAGCACCTTATATTGACTAACTCATCTTAATGTGTATGTTGTGGGGAGAGATCAATAAAGCATCTAAGGGCTTCATACTGAGAGGATCAGAGATTAAATCCTGGCTATTCTTTGGATCAGAAATATTAATACAGAAGATCCTCCATATCCTTTTAAATGAGATTCTTGGACACAAAGTGTGAGGTAATCTGACCGCCAGCTGCTCTTAGCCCAGGAACACATCTATCTACCTAGGCTCAGGTCAGCCTTGCACACTTAGAGTAACGTGCATGTTTATTACAATTTCTGGCATGACCCTCTGGACTAGCTGTGCTTATGTTCAAGCTATAGACACGAGCCAGTGAGTGATGTCAAGCGGTAATACTAAGCTGCCCAGAAACTGCTGAGTGCGCATCACTCACCCAGAAAGGAAGGGATTTCCCTCCCATGCACTCACCCGCTAATGAGGAGATGTGTGCTCTGACAAGAAATGCCAGAGCCAGACTGTCACCTGTGTCCGGCGTTGCTAACTGATCCATATTAATCACAAGGCTGCTTCCCCCATTCCACACCCCTGTACATCGCTATGCTACATACTAAGCAGGGTTATGATTTCACCCACTTGGGAAGGAGACTCAGCAAACTTCTGGATGAGCCCAGCTTGTTCTTTCCTAGTTGTCCCTTGGGGGAGGAAGTTAAGTTTTCCAATAGGCCACGTTCTTGCTTAGGACAGAATAAGCCTGAGCTTTCAGATGAGCATTAAGGAGAGAGGGTGGAACAAAAAATACTATCCCTTCTCATCTTGAGGCCTGCAAAATGTTAGCAAGGTCCCATTCCAGAAGGGGAAACTGAGGCTCCAGGAGGTTAAATTGACTGAATGGAGGGTGAGTCAATGCTGTAACTGCATAGGAGGACTTCTTAACGCATAAGGGAAGGTGGATATTCCAGAGCTCTCAGGGAACAAGTCTGCATTCCCCACCCCCCTACTCTGGTCCTCTTCCAATCACCAATCCCACCGCCTGACACAGATCTAACTTCCAACTGTACCTTGAACATATGGTGACAAGCTCCAGCTATTTCCTCAACAATAAGCAAATGTCCAATACTTCATATTTTTGCTAAGCTACCTAATACCTGCTGATAACCTAAGCTACCAAGTGTAACAGCTTTTAACTAACTCTAGCAAACATCTTAGAATGGAAAAAAGAATCCCCAAGCCCTTATTCTCCCCTGCTCCCCGCCTCCCGCCCCCAAAGCCCGATTCAAGATAATGTAAGGACTTTATATGCTTTTAGGAAAGTAAAAGGAAAATGCCAAGTTTTTCTGAGTCACAGGAATACTTGAGCGCCGGAAGGAATTTCTTACGAGGGATTCACCGCGTGTCTGCGACAAGTTCAGGTTCACATGCGCGACTGAGCCGCACGCGGGCAGGACCCACTGCTTGACTCTGCGCCGCGCCAAGTCTCGCCTGGCGTGGGGAGAGCGTGACTCCGGGTCGGGGCTGGATTTCTGGAGTTCAAGATCTCCTCCTTGCTATGGGAGAGCGTGGTGCTGCTTTATAATGAGCTCCCGCAACTCCTAATTCCGGACCCACCGCATGACCGTGGTGCTTCTGCTCTGCGAGTGCCGGGCTGTGCACAAGCGTGTGAACAAACACCTCCTAAGGACTCTCCCTCTTTCGCGTGTCCTCGTAGTTTGGGACACGGGCCAGAAGCCCAGAGATCCCTCAGGGTGCGGGAAGGTGGAAGCGACCCGTGTTCCCGCAGCAAAGAGCCGGCCAGGAGGGCCGTGGGGTCAGGCGCGCGTCGCGTCCGGGATACTCACCGCGACCTCTGTAGCTGCTCGAAGGCGCTAGTGCTGCCCCCCTGGCCCGGCTGCTCCAGGGAGCAGTAGTTCTGCGAGGTCTGCCTGGAGAAGGCGATGGGCAGGATTCCCTGAGTGAACGAGTTGAGGCGGCCCCGACTGCCGCTCCCACTCCCGGGTGTCCCGGAGCCCAGGAAGGCGGCCGCCGGCACCTGCACGCTGGTAAAGGCATCGTCCTCCTCCAATTCCTCCTGCCCGTCGGGTAGCTGGAGCTGAGCGCAGGCAGCGAGAGGCGCCGGCCGGGGTGACTGCAGCAGCTCCCCCGACGCCCGGCCCGCGCCCAGGGGGCTCGCGAACCCCCGGG